AAAGAAAACTAGCTAGACAGAAATTAAGCTAGCTAGACAGACAGAAGCTAGATAAATAGCTAGAATAAAGAAAGAAAGATAAGATAGATAGATAGATAGATAGATAGATAGATAGATAGATAGATAGATAGATAGATAGATAGATAGATAGATAGATAGATAGAATGGGAAGTCTGTAAGAAAACTACGGTGTGTAATTTAGAAATATACCTTTCATTTCTAAATTCATAATTTCATATCCTCATCAGAATGCTTTTAATGTGAATTAAAGCATCTCCAACATTTGAAATTCTCCTGTGGAGCCACTGCAACACCAACAGCAGCTGATAAAACTCCCTTCATCTTGTAGGTGTAAAAACGGATTTGAGTAATGCGATGTCTACACAATTACTTATCATTCAACTCACTCATCTGTATTCAAAAGGCTCTCTGTGATCTCAGGGTGGCGTGACTCCCCTTAGTACTACAAACCGGGGCGGTGTGAGACGTCTGGTGCTCAAGGACTAACGTTGCCCAAAGTTACATTATCCCACACTGTCCTCCAGTGTGTGTGTGTGTGTGTCTGTGTTAACTGGTGTTAGTACCATTGTGGGGACCTCAATATGTAAAGAGATCCACATAATGGGGACGTGCTTTAGATACGAGGACAAGAGTGCCCATACTATCCACAATTAGATAATTATCCAATTTTAAATAGGACTGGATGACAAGTTGTTTATGATTGAAGTAAAAAAAAGAAATCAATAATTATTTAAGCAGTAGACACGTTATTAAAATAAAGTGAAGTAAAATGAACTTTTAATAGAAAAAAATAGATTAGTGGGAGTCTAGTGGAAGTAAAGGTTGCACACGAAAAAAACTCACAAATCTTATTAAGTTAGCTAACTAGCTAGCCAGCTAGCTTTTTAAGATAGCTAAATAGCTAGCATTATTGTGAAGTATAAATTGGATGAGGGCTGATGATTTGGGGTTGACATAAGTAGCTTTAGGTGAAAGACGATGCTCCTGGCAAACAGATACGGTAAATACAGCAAAGAAAGGGTGCCATGGAAATGACAAAACCTTTCAAAACAGCATGCTTCTATAGGTCTGTCTCTCAGGTGCACAACGGAAAAAAAAACAATATCCACTTCTTGTTTCAGCTTGTATCAAGCAGCTCTACAACTGTGAATGAATAATACTTTGACATATTTTTCCGCAGATAAGCTGTCCCATTTTGGGCCTCTGAGAAAGTGTTGGTGGGAGTTAGTTTATCAACGAGGATTTGATGAAAAGGCATGAAGCTATCAAGCCTAAAAACACTCTCTGGCCCACACAACTCTGAGCTCTGCCAAGCTTTTTTTGCACCCCGGCTTTCAGATAGTAGCATCACCTGCACTACTCTGTTGTTGGTTACATTTTATTCCTGAAGTTCCTGTCCTTGGAAAAAAAATGCAGAGGAATATTTCTGTTATTGAGTTTTACAGGAGCAATTTTTGTCTTTCATGTCAAGCTAGTAATTTACAAAACAAAGCTGATTATTATGCCAAAAATATTAGAATTAGTTGCTAGAATACACATGCATTTGTTGTTCATTCTTGCACAACTAAATGGATATTTTTGTTTATGAACCTTAAACATCTCTCTCCTTTAAAACATGAAAAAATTTAACATGTATGGTCAGATATTTGCAGGTCTAACAAAGTAATTTTTCAGCCGACTGCCTCAAAAATTGGAATCAGGCTAATACACAGAGGTCACTGATCGAATACATTTTTACTTTCATTAACCATACTGATGAATGTTGTAAATCTCTGGATAAATTAATGAAAGAATATATTGATAAAGTAAAGTAAACAGGGATTCTCATTAGTTTTCCATCTTAAGGCCACTCAGCTACTAAATGCCAGATATAAGACTCTACTTCGTCCTGATTTAATCTTATACTTTCTATGCTATAGTGAATCATCCATCAATGGAAAGTCCCTTAACTGGAAACAAATCTCTGACAATATCACATTTGATTAAGCTTAACCATTTTCAACCATCATACACTGAATTACTATCTTTGTGCTCTTTCACACAGAGGGAACAAGACAACAATGTTAAGTATCTCAAGGCCACGTTGAAGTAGAAGAAGATAATAACTCAGGTTCCCAGGCACTGCCACTCCTGTCTCCTCCTCCCGCCCGGCCCGAAGGACCAACCATTCGTTGTCTTTGTTTGCCGCGCACCTAACAAATCAAACTTGCTTCCTCTGTAGACTGACTACATTGCTCATCCAACATGTCCTTTGCACTCTTTGCCATGGCAATGCTTCTTAGCTTTTCAGTGGTGACTCCATTTGTCATTCATCCATCCAGAGAAGAACCAGCAGCTTCAGCTGATTCCACAGTTTCTCATCACAGGTCAGTTTTAACAGGTTTCTACAAAAGGAAACGTTTTGTTGTGACTGCGTTCTGTCTCATTTGTCAAGAGCAGCATTTACAAAATATTACCTGCATAGAAGTTTATTATTATGATATTTGTGCTGAATTATGGAGGTGAGCCCTGAGTGGAATTAGATTTGCAGGAACAATGGTTTAAAGATTTAAAGTGTGTTCTGTTTAAGCATCATCGGTGGTAAAAACAAGACTCCAGTGTTTCTCAACTAAACAGCTATTTAATTCAGTTATTTCATCCATTCATATTGTACTATTTGCTCAGGCACCAGGATGAGTCACTGCGGTCCATCAGGAAGAGCCTCCTCAGGGCTCTCAACATGCAGATGGAGCCCCGGCTGCCGGCCGGTGGGCTGGACAGCGTCCGGCAGCAATGGCAGAAAACCTTCCGCGCCATCCCTCAGAGCTCACAGGACACAAACAGTGAGTGGGATCCATCATTCAGTGGGAATCAGTCCTCAGTTGAATCCAGCTAAAGTTTACAATGTCCCTCTTGCTGCAGCTGCCTCTGGCTACTCTGTGTCCCCTGACAGTGGAAACAGTACCAGCCTGAAGTGCTGCTCCACGGCCTCTGAGATCTTCATGAAAGGTATGCAACATTGTGTATTTAGATTATCTTCTGGGTAAAAGAACAAGAGTGACCCCTTGTCTTCTTTTCAGATCTGGGCTGGGACAGCTGGGTGATCCACCCTTTGAGTCTGACCATTGTTCAGTGTGCGCTGTGCAGTTCTGCAGATAACACTGTGCACCATGCACCATCGGCCAACAGGATGGAAATTCAGGATGGAAATTCACAGGTACAACTGATCATTTCCTCTGCTCGACTTTTATCAACCTTATCCTGTTTCAGACAAGCCCATTCTGTCCTCCGTCCTGCCAAGACAAACTCTCTCTGCCAGACGCATACCTCTGTGCTCCACAAAGTGAATCATGCTTAATGCCTGTGGCAGCAGGGGTGTGTCATTTAACTGAATGAAACAGTGTTAGAAAAATAAAGTTTAATAAGTTTGAAAAAGGATCAGGCATAATGCGAGTATTTGTCATTGTGTTTGTTTTACTTTATCAATCCCTTAAGCATCTTTTGAGAATTAACAGCTTCTTTGTTAATTTGCACAATTATGTCTCAAACATTTGGATGACAACATTATTCGAACACATTTCCAGATACAAAGTAACGTTGACCTATAATGATCTTTTGTGTTGTTCAGCTGGTATTTAGCTGGATGAGCATCCTCTGACTCCCTCTCCTGATCTCCCTCAGGCCCCGTGCTGCCAGCCCACCTCCCAGGGGACGGTGCCCATCGTCTACATGGATGAAACCAGCACCGTTGTGATTTCTGACCTGCAGCTGACTCGCAGCTGTGGCTGTGGACCCGGCACCACCCACCAGCCCGACAAAGAGTAGCCGAACAGCTACCCCGTTTGACATGAGCCACCTAAAGTATCCAAACTATCGTTATGTACAGGCTATCTCCTCCAGCAATCACTCACTCTGATGATTGTGTCTCTATCTTTGATCGACACTCTGTGTTTTCAGAACTTATCGTGGGAACCAAAGCAAAGTCTCGGTTTTGAATTCCCACCGTACCAATAACACCTTTGTTTAGCCTGGCAGACATGGAACACAGCACACCTCATTGGTAACCTACATCTATGTGCCTGTATTAACCAACAAACAAGGTCAGACAAAAAAA